GTGTGGTCGGGGTTTGTGTTTTCCCAAACTATCTTGTCGACTATCGTGGACAGACTGAGTTTAGAGGGCGTATCTCCCAGACCGGCAGTCGATCCAAGGTGCCGTACAATTCGTAAGTATCCATCACCTTCTGCAAAAAAGTACTCGCTGCAATCTTCTTCAAAAATGGAACAGACTTTGTCAGCGTAGGTTGAGGCTTCTTGAGGTGGCAAACCGTTGTACATATCATTAACTACAAAGTCATAGACACAGTCCACAGGGGAGATCGGATCCCAGCCACATGCGGCCATCACAGTAGCCGCTGAAGCGTCGGTTGGAGGAATCGGAGTCTCAACAAGTTTCTGCATGGCAGCTCTGTGCTTCTCAATACTGCCGGTAACTTGATCAGCTATATTTTCACCACTGGATGATGTGCGAGCAGTGAAGGGACGAGACCATGTGTCCGAGGGGTTTGGTGGATGGACCGCGATACCCAACTGCTTTGCGAGTTTGGCCACTATGTTGTTGGCGTGTCCGTGGATGTATACGGGTCCCTCGCATACCTCAACATCCTGAAAGGTGGTTGTGGCAATACGGCCACCAATTCGATGTCTGCCCTCTAGGATGTGGAAGTCGTTGATATGTAATTCCTTCAGTCGTTGTGCAGCCGCAAGCCCAGCCACGCCGGCACCAATTATGAGAACGTCGACGGAGTTAACGGGTTCAGAGGATCTGGGCAAGAAAAAACGCAAACCTGGGCGTTACAAATGATCACAGATATAGTATATAATTTTGCATTCATATGTTTTACAATTGTACTAACTTGGTGTTTTCGGCTGTATGACAACAACAAACTGCTAAACTGTCTTGTAGGGCTGCCTAAACTGTCTAACGTAAGTGGTGAGTAAACATTAACTTCTTGGTTACATAGTGTAAATGATGAATGTGCTCAAAGAATATTAAATTAAAGCCCCTTTCAGTTTTTTAAATGAGTTGACTTTAATCATCTCCATCAACGTAACCGCCTTTGGCCCAGGCAGCTGGTGTCTGTTGATTAAAATTCAAGTTTTCGTTCGTGAAATTTAACAAAAGAAGGGAATTTTGACCTCATATTGGCGAAATTCAACGAAAAAAGGAAAGTCGGGCTATTGAAAATGTAAAAGTATGTTATTATTATAAGACAACGGCGAATAAGACCTCTAAAGACAGTCCTACCCTAAAAAACTTTCCAAAGCGTTGGTTTGGCAGTCAACACGCACACCACCTACAGGTGATAAGAACTCAGAAGGGTCCCTATCAGCTTGTGACTTCAGAATTTGGGCCTCCTCTTAGCTTCATCACTCTCTCGTCATCCATTTCGGATTCGAGCAATATGCTCTAACCCAGGAGCGTCACAAGTGATCTATAATCGAAATGCTATTCTGGCTAAATACCAACGTGTCATAGACGGTTTCACAGGCAACGTTCATTTTGTCTCATTTACCAAAGGTCTATCCCCGCACTTAGTTGAAAAAACAACTCGGTTTTGACAAGTGTCCAGGGTTGCATTTGTTTATCTCCATAATGATTGAACGTTTTTGTTTCAACCACAACCAGCATGTATCCGAAACGGAAATAGAACCACAAAAGTGATATTTATAGCCGTCAATTCTCCAGTTCTAATGGATGTGGATTGTAAATGTCATTCCATTCCGCACAATCCAACTACAAATCAAGTAAAAATTGCTCACTTTGTTGCTTTGGTTTTATTTGGACGAAAGCTTTTTAAGCACCGAAGTAAACATATCTTGCAGACAGGGGCTGACGTGTCTTTCGTTAAACACAAGTAATCATGGAATGTATCAGATAAAGCAAAGGGGGGCCGAAATGCCCATTTTTGGCTTGTTGGACGACACCAACCAGCATAACCAATCTGAAGGGACGGGACACCCGAGATTTGAACTCGGGACTTTTGGTCATTGAGTTTACCACTCTAACATTACACAACGTGCTCGTTGCTTTGTCGGTTGACATCGGGAATTTTAATCATTATAGTAATGCAAAAGGTTTATGTCGCTGACCTGATAACGCACTGAGTGACACCACTCAGAGAATCTGGGAAGATCAAAGTTCGAATTACTTACAGTTCTGTCGTACTATAAATACAAATTACCAATCGGCACTAACAATACGACATAACGGATTTTTATATGCCTTAGATACGATAACATTTTTTCAGAAGAAACTGTCTAGCGGTACACTGAAGACCACGACTCCGTGTGGAAATCCAGTTCCAGGGTCTATCACGAATTCACCAAGAATTGTTTTCTTTTAACGAAAGTACATTCGTTTATGTTAATGCTCGTAACAACGGAAATGAAGGAAGAGGCAGGCACCACGTAAACTTCCATCCAAGAAGGTATTCCGATTACCCATTTGGTCACTTCTCTGTGAGTAAACCAACGGCGTGGCCGCTGGTCAGGTCAGCTTAAACCCTCAGGTACCTTCGCCCATATTTTATGAGATTTCATACAGAAAACCATTGCGAAAAGTCATCTATTAGCTAATTAGATACTTTTACGTCTTTACCTCAAAATCTTAATGTAATTTTCCCGGAAAATATATGACGATGCTTCTTATTTAGCGCAGTTGTTTGGATGGAAAAGGGTAATATAGGGGCGGATTACGTTCGGAAATCCAAATAAATTTGTGTGATAAATTAGTGCCACATTCTGGTCAGAAAGGCAAATGTTAATTTCATTTAAACATCGATCTCGACAATTCAGTGCTAAGCTGCCTTTAATTCGTGAACTTAAGCAGACTTATGGAACACTGAGGAGGGATAGGAACAAACTTGCACTCTGCGTTAACGGTCAATAATACTGCCTACTGAAAAGCAGAGTGAGTAGGTGATAAAATGTACTCTTATTTCTGTAGACCGCCGGTCGAACGAAGACTGCTGTCTCAGTAGAAGTGCGTGGCTCGCGCATAAGTAACTCTAAAGCCCAAGAAAATTTAAAGAACCAATGTGTCAGCTCATTAGATAGCCACATTTTACCTCGTTAGCAACGATAGGTGGTGACTTCAAAGATGTGAACTTTTGGAGTAGAAACTGCAGCAGACACCAGTGTACCGAAAAAAGCAATTTATCAATTGAATAAAAGTGCACATTGGAAATACTTATTCATATAATTTAAACAAGGCGAAGAGCACGAAGTTAGCAGGATTTATTGACTTCATGTAATTCCGCGACCTCGCTTCAACTGCAAACGGTCGTTGCCTACTGATAAGATAAACGAACTGTCCAAGTACGTATAGACATAGAAGGGGGACTGAAGCTTGATAGATAAAGAGACACGGTTAAAGGGGAGCAGAGGGCGGGGTATCAGTTAATCGTAAGGGGGGCGAGGGAGTATGAGAGAGAAGGGGTTATCGATTTGCGGCGGTTACGAACGGTAAACTCATTCCCTCTCACGCCTCCTCGCGCCCTTAGGACTGACTGCTACCCCGTCCTCTGCCCTCCCTCTTTAACCATGTCCCACCGGCTTTCAGGAACTGCCATGATGTGACAATTAGCTCCCCACACAATGCACCTCCATACAAGACTAATAGCTTATTTTCTATTTACATAATGAGTTACACCCCTCTAGGTCGACACTTAATCGGACATTAAATTTATCTTATTAATAAGCAACGACCGTTTGTAGTCGAATAAGAGGTCGTGATATTGTATGGCGTCAAAAATCCTGCTCATGTCGTAATCTTCGCCTTGTGCAGATTTCTTCCGAAAAAACAATGTTTCATTTTTCATATAAATTGGTTTTTTTACAGTGGCGACGACAAAATAGGGTTTACCTGTCGTTGGGTAAGTTACCATTGGTTTCAAGTTCGATATCCTTTAAGTGATTTGGTAATTCAGATTCAGGATCCATGCTGTAGGAAGGACAATAAATGGCATTAAAAGTTGTTGAAGTAAAATTTGAAGAGTATAAAATACAGGAAACCGGAAAAGTAGTTTACAACACCAGATGGAAGAATAGGTTAGAGTAGATATTTTGTTGCTTTGGAAAGAGCAATGCGTACCCACTGGTTAAATCAATGTTTCGTGATGACCAAGACCATGTAAACGAAGAGCTCGGATAAACCACCTTGGATATAATCTATGAATCATTTTTCGGTTTTTTATATTTTTATCGCCAAAAGGAGGGTCGCGGTTGAGGAGATAGGACCAGCCTTTGAAAACGCAGAGCCCGATAAGTAAGGGGTTGGTTCCGTGGGAACATAACAGTAGGCAGATCAGAACCATTGTAAAAATAAACTAATGTTGTGTCCAAAATATAAAGACAAGCTTCGCTAAAACGATATTATTTCGAGAAGTTGACATTTTCGAATAGTCTTTTATCAAGTTATGCAACCTAGTTTGTCGACGGGATCCCTTTGAGAGCATATTCAAGATGTGTCACGAAGATGTTTGCATATGATTAATTGCAGTACTCGAGTTTGAGAGCGAAGGATATTTTACATCGTTATAATATGTTTTTAGCTCGTAAAATCATGAATCAGCTATCCTTTTCTAATCAAAACATTTTTTGCTTGCAGTGACGCTGTTATCAAGTAAGAGTGTTATTCGATCGTGAAAAATTGGCCCACAAAAGTGCTTTATTGAGAAGATATTCGTGATAAACGAAGATAATTCTAATTCAATACCACGACTGATCTCTTTTGAGTGAAAAGCATTAGGCTAAAAGATGAACCTATAGGGCATTTATTTGGTCAAACATTCGCTTGCGGTGTAAACCTTCTTATATTTGAAGGGACAACGATTTACGTAATTACATTTGTGAGCCTGAAGTAGACCATTGCATTTGGATTTAGGGTGAATGGAAGCTGATGGAGAAAAGCATGGTTATGAGTTCCTACCTTGAAGATACCTTATCAGACCTTACTGGCAAAACCTACTTCAACGATAGTTAGTGCAACCGGTTCATACAAGAAGAGAAGCACGAATTCTGCTTATCAGAGGAAATAAGAAGAACACAGCTGGTAAACAACTGCATCGTATATGCGTAAATTCAGGCCGAAGACATTAATGACAGCCGAATTATAGACCACTGTGCCTGACTTATGCATAATACGATATCAATTCTCCATGTTACTCATCTGTGGGCGTTTAGATAAAGAAGCTTTCAAGCTGAAAAGTTTCCATGCGAAGAGACTGCTTTAAATTTTCACTAAGTAAGTCATAGATTTAATAATTCAATACCATTTTTGCCACATCCCATAATTCAGGATTACTTTTGGTGAAGTCACAATTCTGGCTGCAAGCTGTGTAGTAAACAAATTGATTTATAAAGATTCTAACAATCAGATTACTGTCTTGACTGAGGTATGAATGAATAAATTAGGCAGGTCTACATAAAAATGTTGCATACTGCAACGTCCACTCTTTCTACTTAGCACTAAGATTACACAGTAGTATTTATCTGGAGCTAAACGGACCGACAATTTAGAACTTTTCTTATCATTCGATTAAAAACAACGACTTCATTTGTGCTTACTAAGCCAAGCGCAAAAAAGAACCGCCCAGTGACCCAGTGATGATCAAGAGTGAAAAATAGTGACTTACATCGTTTAAAAACTCCAAAATGTTGGCGCCAATGCAGCGTCAGACCGAGTTCAGTAAGGGTCTTTTAAATACGCGCAGAAAAATGATCGGAAGACACAGACAAGTGTTGGCACACACTGACATCTGACAACCGACGCTGATACTGGCCAATGAAGCCGGTCAGGTTCGCTGTAAAGGTAAAAAAGTGCTTCTAGTCATTTGACTTGCGGCAGCTGACCGATATTTGCATCTAAGTATGCATTTTTTGCAGATAGGACTATTTAGTCCTATCAGCGTCGTAATTCTCTAATTTCGACAGAGAAAACTCTTCTTTATATATAAATAGCTTCGTATAAACTGGAAGGCAGCCATCCAAAGAAATGTACTTTCAAGGAAAGGCGTTCTTTGGGGAAATGAAGAACGCCTTTTATTGAAAATATAAATAGCTGTTAGGAATTGGGTTGGATTGAAGATCGCATAATTACTCTTGTGCGGCACGACAGTTTAAACGTTTAAATCACTACTTACTGTCTTCACATTTTCCGTATCACCTGGTATATTCAGAAAATTTGAAAAAATTAAAGGACGATGGGATTTTCCATAATACGAGAATAACTAAAGTTCAATTAGTTACGGTTTCTTGCAACCTGCCTGATCCAAGGTGCACGCTAACTTTGTGTCATACCATTACAAACTAAATTCAGGACAGCTTGTGATGTATTTATCATGTCGTTTTGAATGGAATTTGAAACGAGAGTTGCTTTGTGCCAAAACATTTCCCCTGCGGTGTAAACATCTGCTCAAGTTCATCCAGACTTAATCGATAAGGAAATCAAAAACCCTTGTTATAACAGGTAGAATTCTGAGGAGGAGACTATGACCTGCTACTAGAATAACACCCATGGCTAAACTCCGGAAGAAAGTCTCGGCCATTTGCTTCTACGCGCATTTAACCTTCTAGAATGTATGGCGACTGCGGAGAATGCAAAATTGCGTCCAGAAATATGACGCCATAGATTCAGTAGTGTGGCTACGCTGTTTGAGAACGTGTCTGTGTCGCCATTTCCTCTATTACCTGAAAACTAGAACATTGGGAAATCGGAATGACGCTTAACACCGTCGCGAGAATAGTCTGTTCGGGAGAAAGTGTAATGCCTTCTTGAAAGTAAGCCGTCTACCAAT